GGTGGCGGCGGTGCTGGTGGTGGTGGCGGCGGCGGTGGTTGCTCTTGTGTTGTTGTCGTTGCTGTTGTCTTTGCCCGCGTGTGTCTTGTTTTGTTCTTGTTGCTGTTGCTGTTGCTGTTGCTGTTGCTGCTGCTGTTGTTGTTGTTGTTGTCATTGCTGCTGCTGCTGTTGTTGCTTCTGCTGCTGCTCCTGGTGTTGTTGTTGTTGTTGTTCTTGTTGTTGCTGCTGTTGCTGCTGCTGCTGCTGCTGTTGCTGCTGCTGCTGCTGTTGCTGTTGCCGGTTGTTTTTGGCTGATGTCGTCTCAGCATCTGCTGGCGGTGCTGGTGTTTTGTTTGGTTGCGGTGCTGTTGCTGCTGCCCGTGGGTGTGGTGGTGGTTGTGGTGCATGGTTGTGCTCTTGCTGGATTGGCGGCGGTGCTGGCTGTCGCTTTGTGGCCAGTGTTGCTAGTCTCTCTGTTTTTACTGGCGGCTGTGTGTTTGGCACCCCCAATTGTCAATTCAGCAAGCTGAAATGAGATCTGACCGCCCGCATTGTCAATTCAGCCAGCTGAAACGAGATCTGGCAGCCTGGATTGTCAATTCAGCCAGTCGAAATGAGCACATGGTTTTCATTTCAGCTTTCTGAAATGAACTGCAGGGATGCCGAAAGTCAATTGAGCTGGCTGAAATGACTTACGGAGATGCACAATCTGAATTCAGCAAGCTGAAATGACAAATCCCAGGTGCCAAAAGTGGGTGGTAGTGGTGGTGAGTGATAGTGGGTGGTGGTGGTGGGTGCTGGGTGGTGGTGGTGGTGCTGGGGGGTGCTGGGGGTGGTGGGTGGTGCTGCGTCGGAAGGGTGGTGGGCGGTGAAGGGTGGTGGGTGGTGATGGGTGGTGGTAAAGGGTGGTGGTAAAGTGGTGGTGGTGGCAGTGGTGGAAGTGGTGGTGGTGGTGNNTATATATATATTCCTGTATAAAGGTCTGTACTCTTTAATGTGTGTATATATATAATTATGATTATGAATATAAATATACCTACATGTAGACATATTAATATGAATATTTGTATGTATATTTACACCAACTACAGTCATGCACAAAACAACAAGCAACAACGACATGCATGAACGAACAGGAGCCTTCGAAGGCTGGAGCCGATAAAGGCTGACTTCAGAAGTCCGAGAGGAGCCTGCAGAGGCTAAGCCTTGAACGGCTGCACCAACAAGAAAACAGAGCCTGAAAAGGCTGAGCCTGCAGAGGCCCTACACTGCTGCAGCATCAACAACACAGAGCCTGAAAAGGCTGAGCCTGCAAAGGCTAGTGAAAAGGCTGAGCCTGCAAAGGCACCAACAAGAAAACAGAGCCTGAAAAGGCTGAGCCTGCAGAGGCCCTACACTGCTGCAGCATCAACAACACAGAGCCTGAAAAGGCTGAGCCTGCAAAGGCTAGTGAAAAGGCTGAGCCTGCAAAGGCTAGGCACTGCAGCACAAAAGTCGCCAGGTTCTTTTTCTTCCCCCGGCGCCCGGGGCTGTCGTGGTCCAGCCACGAGAGGTGCTCCAGCCAGCACCACCAGTTCAGACTCTCAGACCCCAGCCAGCACCAACCACCAGTGGTGTAACCAGAACCAAGAACCTGTGGTAGTAGTCCAGCCACCACGTGTATTTTGCTCCAGCCAGCACCATTTGCCACCTGTCCTCCAGCCAGCACCTCAGCCGGCACGAGGCAAGTAGCCAGCTCTTCGCAGACCATCCAAGCCGCCATTTGCATAAGCTCGGTAGATAGACCTGAGCTGCACTTCAATGCCAGCAAAGTTTTGTAGTCTGGCAAGCTGTGCTTGCAGCTCATTGTCCTCTCCCCGCGCGGCCAAGGCAACCAGCACCGCAAGCCTTGTGGCGAAGCCGGTCTTCTCCTTCTCCGGCTTCCTGTACCAGTGCCGGTTTCCGCCAGCATCGTACCAGTAGTAGCCTCCAGAACCAGCATCATGACCTGCAGCTCCAGGAAGGTGCACCGCCGCCTCATGAGGCGGAGGAGGTGGAGGTGCTTCTTGTTCAAGAGGAGGTGGCGGCGGTGGTGCTCCCTCTCCAGCAGCTCCCTTGCCACCCTTGTGGCGAGGAGGTCCAGCCGGCTCGTTCGGCCGGTCGGAGCCAGCAGCTGCTTTCGGCGGTGGCGGAAGCTCTACTCCTCTCCAAGGCGGCTGCTCCTCCTCCTCCTGGAATCAGTTTGGAGAAGGAACAGCACGGCTCCTAAAGCTTCCCAATGTTAAGCTAGGCAGCTAAAAGGAGCCTGCAAAGGCTTTGACTACTAATGTCAAGCCCAGTGTCTGGGTTCGAAGGAGGCTCTGTGAGGTCCTCCTCCAGCACCTGGCTCGCCAGCACCTTGAAGTAAAGGTTGCAGTTTCATTTTGTTTTGGTCGAGGGTTTTAAAGTTAGGGGTTGAGGGTTTAAGCTTTGGGCCGTAATGTTGGGGTTTCCGGGCTGCGGGTTTAGAGCTTGAGGTTTTAGGCCTCCTTATTGATTGAGGCCGTGCCTCCGGAGGCTGCTCTCCACCCAGCATGAGCCGGTCCAGTGCCGACAGGTCCTCCTCCTTCTTCACCGGTTCAGGCAGCATCCTCCGCCTTTTGGGTGCCGCCTGAAACATGCAGGGGTCGCAAAAAGAAGCCTGCAAAGGCTGAACACAAAACAAGAAGAAGCCGTCAAAGGCTACCTATTGAGAGCCTGCGAAGGCTGCGAAAAAGCCTGGTAAGGCTTCACACTGCAAGCCTAGAACGGCCATTGCTTAAAAAAAGGCTTGCCGAATCCATGTCGTGCCGGCCTTGTCGCTGGGCTGCAGCATATTCTTTTTCTTGCTGCCGCCAGCACCAGCAGGAACCACCGCCTCAGGTGTTTTTTCTGTTCTGCTAAACATTACATTCCAGACCTTGTAGGGTTTATAAACCCTGAAAAGAGTCTGAAAAAGCTGCCAGTCTTAAATTCATCGCAGCTGCGGGCTCGGTCGGCTGCCCAGCACTTCCAGTGCTGCTTCCAGCACCAGGAAGGGCCTGCAGGGAGGACAGTGGTCCGGCTTAGAGTTGAAGCTTTAGGGTTTGTAGTGGCACCTCTTCCAGCTCTCGAGCCCATTGCTCGTAGAGCGCCATGTCTGCCATGGCTTTGCCGCGACACGGAGGGTGGTCGTCCAGCACTACTCGTAGTGTAGTAGCCCAGCTACAGCAGGACTGTTAGCAGTAGTAGTAGTAGTAGTAGTAGTGCTCGTAGCAGTAGTAGCTTTAAGGTTTTGACAACCCTTAAAGCTGGCAACCCCCAAAGCTGGACTTCGCACCAGTGAAGGGAAACTACAGAGGAGGAGCTTCAAGTCTGAGACTGTGTTGAAAACTTTTTGCGGTTTTGTCACGAAGTAAACAAATCGCACCTATTACTGCCATGTGCAACTTTGTGGCAAGGGTCTACCAAGTGACAACCGGCTTCCTCCTCATTCTGTACATTTGCAATGTAGCCGAAACATCACACGAACATAAATATCCTCAAACAATCATTCATGAGTGTTACCTTCAAATAAAGCCTAGGGCATCCGAAGAGCCTAGAAAGGCTTTGCAAAACAAACACTGAAGAAGGAGCCTTTGAAGGCTGTGTCGAAAAGCCTGCAAAGGCTTGTTTTGTATATTGCTTTGAAGAGCCTGGAAAGGCTGGGCAACAGAGGAGCCTTTGAAGGCTGTGTCGAAAAGCCTGCAAAGGCTTTGTTTTGTATATTGCTTTGAAGAGCCTGCAAAGGCTGGGCAACAGAAACCTTGAAAGAGCCTGCAAAGGCTATACTGCACGGCTTATCTGCATCCTAAGAGCCTGGAAAGGCTGTACATTGAAAGAGCTGCAAAGGCTATGCTGCACACAAGGCTGCACAAGATTATCTGCATCTATAGGAGCCTGCAAGGGCTTTCAGCTTTAGAAGCGTTCTTGAAAAAGGCAGCAAAGGCTTGCTACAGACTTGAGCCTGGTACTAGGCTGAAAGGAACCTGCAAAAGCTACAAGCAAAACGGAGAAGCAAGGAAAGCCGCATAAAGCCTGCAAGGCTATGATACAGACACGGGAGCCTGGAAAGGCTGCAAAGCGCCGGAGCTAGCGAGCCCCGCATGGCTTAGAACACTTTCACAACGCACACGAGGCGGGTTTTCCTTCGCAGCAAAAAGGCTCTCAGGACTCCTCCTCCTTACCAGAATGCTCCTCGGAACGTCCTCGCTTGCCACGATACTTCCCACTTCTTGTGTAGGCTCTTTTGGGCAGCTCGCGGAAGCATGCTTCGCAGTCCACGGCCAGCATGTCAAAAACTGCCTGCATCATCTGGGGCTCCATCTTCACGATCAAGTCGGTGGTCTTCGAAGACCTTGGGGCCAGAATGACAACATCTGTACCGTTCACAGAGATGGTCACAGTCTCGGGAGCATCAGCTTTCTTGCTGAGCTGCTTTCGCTTGCAATCTTTTGCTTCGAAGATATCATCATCCCCACCAGGCTGGTCGGGTTCTAGTGCCTTCTGAACTTGGCCATGCAGCTTGGCGAGGGCGGGACTTGCAGCCAGCGAAGGATTCTTCGCTTCTTTGCACTTTGCCTCGCCACAGATAAGCTTGCAGATGGCACCATGAGAGGGTCGGATTTTGAGATACTTGGAGCCGTCGCTTCCAACCACAAGCAAAGCTGGTGGGATTGGCACATGCCGTCCACCAGCAAAGGCCAAAGCAACCCTTTCCTGGATCTCTACCATGGCTCGCTGCCACAGAAGAGCAGGCACTGTTGATGCTGGAGCACAAGTGCTGCAGCAAGACATGGAATTAGCGCTTCTCCCTTTCCATGAAGCCTGGAAAGGCTGCACAAATCCGGCCTTGCCAAAAGCAAGCCTGTACAAAGGCTTTCTCATATTTTCCTACAAAAGAAGCCTTGAAAGCTGTCATGCACTCGTTTTCAGCACCTGCAGGCTCGCAGCTTCGAAGGAGAATGGTTTCTGAGCATCCGAATCAAAACGATGCTTTGTCGATCTTTCAAGACCAGCATGGAGCCAGCCTGAATGAGCAAGGGATTTCGTTTGTGAAGCTTTATATAGGGTTCCTGGATTATTCGAGAGACTTAACCCTAAAGCCCTAAACCTTGCACCCGCAACCTTTTAAAACTAGCAAAGCAAAGTATTCATAAGCACTTGGCTGGCTCTTTGAGTTGACAGAATAATTCTTTTCATCTTTCCAGCCTCCTGCAGCATGTTGCAACAGCAACGGCAGCCAGGCTGAACAAACACTCACCTCGTGGTCTTCAGCTTCTTGCGGCCGGTTTGCACTGGCGGCTTGTAGTACTGCAACTGCTCCCCGGCCTGCAGCGGCTTCCGAGCTTTCAAGCATGGTATCTCCAGCCAGCCCTGGTACACGGTGGAGCTCAGGTCCATGGTGGCCTCCGCTTCCTCCTCCGTGGAAGGAATCCAAAAGAAAGCAGGGATGGCACCGGTCTCCTTCTGGATGTCCACCTTTCCAGCCAGCACCTGGTACTGGCGGCCACTGGACTTTACCTTCAGCAAGACCTTCCCAGCCTGCTGGGCCTCGTGCTTTTTTGCAAGGTCTTCCTTAACGAGCTGGACAGACCCGAACGGGTAGATCTTCAGGCCATGCTTCTTGATCTTTCCAGCAGCATATATCTTGTGTGTGTTCGTGAAGAGCAACTGGGACACATCCAGCAGGCTCTCCCTGGGCACCACTGCATGACGATTTTGGACCAATGCATCAAACTTTTAGAAGACAAAAACAGAAACAACCCATGCGAAAACCTTGCCACGAGGAAGACCAGCATCTCTGAGTGGTTCGTCAAAAGGGCTGCCTGCACCTGGGCTTTCTCCAGCTCCAGCGACCAAGTGTCGCAGACGTCCATCTGCAGCTTCGTTGCCAGCTCCAAGGCCAGCTTCGCAGGCACCGCTTTGTCTGTGGCGCGGAACAGCTTCAAGTCCGCATGCGGGAACACATGCTCCGTCGCAGTGCCGTGCAAGTCCAACACCTTGAAGGTGCCATGCTCGGATCCCATACCAACAAACTCGAAAATATCAGAGGAGTCCTTCTTCAGATACTTCTTGCCGACCACCAGCCAGCTCATTCGTCGCTCTGCGATATTCTTCGCATCGTAGTTCTCCTCATATCTAGGAGCTACTTTTGTATATAACTTGGAATTTCGGCGCTTTTGTCCTAGGGGTAGTATAGGGGCTATAACATTTGATAAAAAGCGTTCAGGAAGAACCAATAACATGCAGGCTTCCTCCAGGCCCAGCACCTTGCTCTCGGCCACTGCAGACCCACCAGCATCGCCCGTGGAGGACGAAGCTTGGGCCTTCGCTTGCTCCGACAAGAAAGCCTTGTGGATCTCTTCCAAGGACCCGAAGACAGTCCTCTCGCGACCTTTGCCTTCTTTCTTCGTAAGCCACAAGGCTCCACGGACCAGGAACCGGCCCAACAGCCTCTTGTTGTCCAGCAAGGCCTGCCCTTGCCCGACCTGCGAGAACACCAGCATCGCCATTTTCTCCGCCAGCACTGCTTGCTCCACGTTGCTCTTGAGCTTCTCCACGTCTTGTTTGCTCAAGAGTCGCGAGATGCCATCTGCATGCTTCGGTGAGCTCAAAGCAGCTGCCAACAGCATGGTCCGCACAAGCGGAAACGTCGTTTCCGCACTTCCCAGGTCGGTGGTTGCGACAGCTGTAAAGAAATCTTGTCCCAGCATCATGGAGCTGTTCCAGATCTTCTCCAACTCTACAAGCAGCTTGACGAGCACGAAGTTGTCTCCGCCCGAGTACCGCTGCACGTAGACACCTACCGCTTCCAGGTGTGGCAAGTTGAACGTGCTTCGGCATGTGTCCAGAGCCTGGTCCATATTCCCGCACCGCTTGTACTGGCCGGCAAGGTTCATGGCCACCTCCATCTCCGTCACCCGAGCAGCGATATGGTTGCTGGCATTCATGGACCCCTGGAAAAAGTCGCAGAACCAGGGCAATGCTTCCTCCACCGCAGCGGAGAAGCAGTGCCAGACCTAGAATTTGAGGCATGCAGTGGAAAGCTACAGTATACGAGTGCATGCTGCCGGTCTAAAACAAAAATTTTGAAAAAGAATGGCCTACCCTAAACCTTAAACCCTAAACCCTAATATATAGGCAAGACACCCAGCCGTTTCGCACAGCTGCGGAGAAAGCTTCGTCGTGGAACACTTGCTGAAGGTTCTCTAAAGCCAGCACTGTGCTGACTTTGGACAGCTGTGCTTCGTCCGTTTTGCACCCAGCACTAACAGCCTTGCAAAACTGAGACATGTGGGAGCTCGACAAGCTCGCAAATCTTTCCTGCCTTGTAACCGGCGCGAGCCGGCCCTCTGAACTCTCAACCAACATGGCCATCTGCTTGAGCTGCTGCTCCCGCACACTTTGCTTCTGCGAGAGCTCCATGGCATAGCTCTCGTTGAGCTTCTCAGGAAGCCATCCTACCCGCAAAGCCTCTGCACCCCTCAAGTGCACGTTGTGCGGGTTGACCATCATTCCTGAGCGGTTGTCGCCGTGGACAACCAAAGCTGTGCAAGGCACAGTCTCTCTGTGCATGTAACCATGCTTTTCCAGCATGGCTACCATCTTCATGGCCTTGCCATTGACCCCCAGCACCGGGTCGTCTCGGATCTTGCCCATCTCCTGGACCAAGGATGCCTCCATGGCTGCAAAGAAAGCTTGAAAGCGCCTTTCCGTTTACTTACATAGCGGTTTAATGAAACCTCCCCGCATGGGTCTGCGACGTGCATAGACCTATGAGGTTAAGTGTCCTGGCATCAGCCTTTTCATCCTACAAATACATGTTCGCAAGTCTGCTTCTCCGACCAAACAGTTTCCACCGCCCTGCTCGCTGCATGGGCCAAGAAGTCTACCGAAACAAAGAATCATCCTCCTCGCAATTGCACGTCCCTGCTCGGAGCCTTATAGGGCTGCTACTCAAGACATGCATCCTGGCCGAAGCTGAGCCTGCTAAGGCTGCTGTTCCAACACTGTGAGCCTACTAAAGCTCAGCCTTCTCATGGCTTTTCTGAAAAACGTGAGGTTGCGAACCCTAAACGAAAATCTGCTCAAGGCCGCATGTGTCTCTGCAGACAAGCTTGGAAAGGCTGTGCATGTCCTAAACCCAGCATAACACTACACAAATTTTCAGCACCGCAGATTTCCTGTGGTCAGATTGGCCATGCAAATCTGTCTCCACCGACGAATGACTTCTTGCTCAAATGGTTTGCTGCATTGCAGTTTAGCACAGTTATAAATGCAAACTAACAAAGTTATCGACATTACTTATCACTTTAGTATCTCAGGTAAATCAGTTAATGCATTTACCTAATTCTGATATTTTCAATTACATAAATGCCTTAATCGCCTAAATGGTTTATCGGATTTAAGTAAAAGCTACGTAATTCACTTAAACTGTTGTTACAGTTATTCAAATTATAACAAGTTATAACGGCTTATAAAGCTATACTACTAACATGTCACATGGATACTAACCCGTGTATCTGCCTGAAACAATTACC